TAGATCCTTAATTCTTTAAATCAACAAATGTAGTAGGTAGCATTCATTTGAAGTATATAATTATAATATATAATATTTTGTTATAAGTTAATAAAGTAACTAAACTAAACTAAAAGTGTCGCCAATAAAATCTTCATTAAGTATTTTAGTATCATGTGAATTTATTACCCATAAAGAAATGACAAGAAATTCAGAATTATATATTCCGTCACGCAAGGCTATAATATCACTTCATATTGTAAAATATTTATTTAATTATAAATTTAGATTAAAGTTATTCTATTTTAATGAACACTAATGTATTAATTTATAATATGACAAAATGTCTATTTATTAAACAGTAATAAATTATACTGCGACCCCCACAGAGACATAAGGCCATTTTTAATTTTAACGCAGCTTCTACATGTAAATTTTACTCTATATTTGGTAGAATTAAGTAATATCTCGAAGATCTGATTTAAATATTATAGGGAAAAATCTGCTTTGGGTCGTGGGGCTTTCTCTACCGGGACCGCGATCCCTGATTTCCCTTTAGATACAATAATTATATTTGAGTGGTATATTAAGACCACTTATAAAAAAATGTCTATGGAAACTAAGGCCAAAGAAACATTTTGAAGTTATACGAATAAAACTATTTTTTTCAAAACCATAACATATTTAACCTCTCGCTATACATTAATAAATTAAAAAAAAACTACACGCAACGTAAGCTAATAATTGGCATCGAATTTTGGCATTGGTTTCGATTGTCGATTTATTGTTAAACGTTAATTAACGATGACTCATCGTTTCATATCTTTATGTATAAATATCCATTAAAAGTAATGAAAGTAATAATTTATATAATATGCAAAACTGTTTATGCTTGCTTTGAGTATTTACTTACTAATGACTCCCTACATACCTTACTTTTTACGTACCTACTTAACTAATTCGTTAAGTAGTTAGGGCGTATGGACGAAATCTTCTTAAGGAAGTCATTTGTAAGTATGCACCAATAGCTAGCATAAACAGTTTTGCATATTTTATAAATTATGAAATTAATTACTTGTGATGGATATTTATACATAAAGATATGAATCATTATTAATTAATTAAACGTTAATTTTTCATTCGACATTCGAAGCCAATGCCAAAATTCGATGCCAATTGTTAGAATACATTGCGTGCAAGCAAAATTTTAATTAAAAAAAAAAAGGTTGTATTTATTATGTTTATACAATTAAATATTCTAAAGCTGGTTGGCGTTATAGCGATACGTCAAAGGGTGTTTCTTATTCTACTTTGTATTACCACGAGTTGCCATGTCCATGAGCAGAGTTCGTATTATTGGTGAATGTAGATGTAGTTTATTATAGTTATCACCGCAGTCGATCCTATGTCTCATTCGATTCGGTCCTGACTGATTGAAGGTTGTAACGACAGATCCTTGGACCATGGGAATGAATGGTTACTGACACTGTGTTGGGTACAAATGCGAGGGATTGCGAAAATAATGTTATAGAAAGTACTTTTTGTGAGTGGTACGAATAAGACTCATTTGTTTTTGGATTGATTCAGAACTTTAAGACAAAGATCTGTGTGGTACCTTCAATCGTGGTCAGCGTTGTGCTTTTAATTGTGAGTAGTAATTTCATAGAGGTCCATCAGGGTACCCAGAATTTCCTTCCTGGAACCTTCACCGGTGGTGTCCGAGGGGATTGCCACACAGACAACGAGTGGCATCAAGTGCCTTATGCAAGTTTCATACTCTTCCGTAGTGAATCTGTTCCGACTGTTTAAACGAGGCACAATACCAACTACCAAAAGGTACTAATATGTCTTTTGTTTTGTTTCTTTGTGGAAAGCTAATTCTTGCAATCAACTAATCATATATTTTACCTCTTCTCTAGTATAAAAGTCTCTCAATTAAGTTGTTGTTGGGTACATTGATTTGATTATCGAATTACTTTACAGAAATGTCGGGTTACAGAAGTAATAGTCTAGTGGTGAGTGACCCTGACTGTAGCCAGAGGTCGTGGTTTCGGTTTCCATCCAGGGCAAATAAATGTGTGATGTGCGTGATGATTTTTTCCGTGTCTGGGTGTAATTTACCTATGATATGTATAATATAATAAATATAATATAATATTCTATCACATACACACAACGCCATCTAGTCCCAAACTAAGCAGAGCTTGTACTATGGCTACTAGACAACTGATATAAATACATATATACTTTTTTTTTGTAAATATATACATATTATACATAGAAACACCCAGACCAAATCAAACATCAAATGTTCATGCACACAAATGTTTGACTTGAGCGGGAATCGAACCCGCGACCTTTGGAATAGCAGTCCGTTACACAAACCACTACGCCATCCGGTCGTCGTCATATTTAGTAATATATAACTATGTTTATCAGCAGATTGGTTACCAAAGCATAGTCTCTACCTAGTTTGGAATCAAATTCAAATTACCTTATTGCGAAAATGGGTAGGTACAATGATTATCGTGATATAATAATGTGGCATAGCTTCTCTATTATCGGCCTTTCGGCATACAATACTTAACATTTTATAATTACATACTCTAGGAATCGAATTACAACATTGTTCATATTTAGAGATTTAAAAATGTGTAAATTAAATGAAAAGCGGTGCATTTTATGTCAATTGAAAATAAATTACAATAGAATGTCACAATAATTTAAGATTAAAACAAAGAGACGCAGATAAAACATGTTTTGTACAGTCTTTATAATTTAAAAATTCGTCTACTGTATAGTAAGCCTTTTGCAATAGAAATCGTTTAAAGATATTTTTAAAAATACTGAAACACGCAATTTCTATTAAGCGTTTAGGTAGATGGTTATAGACTCGTGGCGCCATGCAAAACACACTCCGATCTATCAAAGCACTTTTATGCTGAGGACAACATATTTCGAAATTGTGACGCTTACTTTTATACTTATCAGGCATGTTTAGGTTACATCAGACGGCCGTGTGTGTGATGTGTGTAGTTATTATCATCGACTGCTACTGCTAGCTATATTAATAAAAATACCATTCGAATATCCAAATTTTCGAATGGTATTTTTAGGCCAAAACCTCCTTTCTAAGAAGAGGTCTATGTCCAGGACTATTAAAGGCTATTGGTGATGATGATGTGATCAACGACTCAGACCCTCAAACTGATTTGACATCGCTATTAACATGGTAGTTCTGTTAGTTTTACAATATTTTGATTGGTCTTTCAGAAACAGATAATTCTTCGGTGTCTTTATTTTTCTAAATACATAGAAAAAAAAAATGGTTTTGCGTACCTATGTACGCAAAACCATTTATTTAATTTTCACTTCATCACTTCAATAAATTTTGGTGAGCACTGCAATCAGAGTTATGCGAAATTAGACATTACTAAAATGAATAATAAGTTTGCACATCTCACATAAGGCTCTCTGATCCCAAATTAAGAAGAGCCTGTCCTATGGTAACCAGACTACTGATACCCATTTATAGATAAATTACACCTAGACACAGATCATTGTGATTGTACTCATGACACAATTATTTGTCCTGGATGGGAATCAAACATAAATTTACATGTGATTCAACAGTAACTATTTTGCGGGTCATAATTATGAGGCAATATTGTAAATCATATAATAGATACATAAAATTGCTGTACCGTATTTATTAATTAAAATAAATAATTTTAAATACTGCTATAACTGTGAAGGTACAACGTAATAACCGTCAGTATGCAAATGCCTATTACATTCAATTTGCCACTGTGTTAATAAATACCTAGTAAATGTATCCTGACCATTTATTACGAACGTAATGCAATTACGAGTACTACTACATTAATACAAACACGTTTTGGATCTAATTTTAGAGCTTTTAAATACTTATTTAACCTAATACGGATTAATTCTAATCTCTACATTCTACATTCTTGTGATCGGTGAGCTTAAGTTAAAATAGTTCGAATCGAATCGAAAATACCGAAATGGCTGAAGGTATACTCACGTCTTGAAGGGGTACTGTAGAACTGTATTAAGTACTCATTGAGAGAGCGAGAATATTTTTTTCAGAATGCGATGTTTCATTACGATAATAGAAAGTGTCGCTCAGATTAATTCGCTAAAAAAAAAGTTATAAAGAAACCGAAAATCAACTCATTGTTCCCTTATAAGTAATCTAATACACTTTATCTACCACAGACACCCAACCACTACACACAACACCTTACAAACCAGTCCACATCACATCACATTTCTCACCACACAAAGCACCCCATATCATACTAGGAGTACCCCCATCATATTTTTACCTTCTCTCAAACTGTCCTAGTCATAATACAATAAACCTATAGTACACTACATCTTGTCCGTGTAGTGACGGGTTTAGAATACGGAATGTCACTACCCTAATTCATCCCGTGGGTGTCGTAAGAGCCGACTAAGGGCGCCAAACAACGCAGGACACCAGCACTGCAAAAAGAAGGAAAACTTGACACAAACCCTATAATAACCCGTCTGGCCAGCGTGGTATAGTAGGCCAAAACCTCCTTTCTAAGGAGAGGCCTATGTCCAGCAGTGGACTATTAAAGGCTGTTGACGATGATGAGACTTCGCCTATCTAGAGTCTGGAGAGTCTTTTAATCTGTGATACAGGGCTTCTATTACAGATACCAGTTTCTCATACAGATTTAATAAATAAAAATGTAAATTTTATTTTGTATCGCTTCGAGATGTGTATGCTGTGTTAGAGAACAAAACAAAGTTTATTTGTATTTGTATTAATAATAGAACATCGTCTCTGAATATATTCGTATGTATTAGGTTGGACATGAAAAGAGATTTAGAGACAATTCAAATGAAACTCCAAGTCATCCAAGAAGAAAATTCATTCATTTTAGACTCCTTTGATTTTCATGTAAGGTTAATTTTGGATAGTTACGAGTAGATTGGTTTGGATATGGTTGGATGTTGTATCTTACCTGAATTCTCGCTTCTGTTAGACCGATCTTCATCGCAAGCTCCTCTCTAGAACAAAACACACAGTTGTAAATTTATTAAAGGTATTATTAAAATGTGTTTAGGAAATATAGGTAATGAATTCGTTTAATTACAGTCGTTTTCTCCATCCTAATGCTTTTTAACGAAAATACCTCCAGATGTACCATTACCTTGTAGTCCAGTCATTATAGTAAGCTCACCTCGGAATTCGAGATACCCAGCTGTAAGTCTGTTAATACTTGTATATTGACACCCTAAAAGTTGTCTCAAAACCTACATATGGTAGGGTGTAAGCATTTAGGTTCTATGTATAATAAGTATGTATTTACAAAAAAAAAAACTAACTAACTAACTAACTACTTAACTAATTAGTTAAGTAGGTACCAAAGACGAGCTTTCGTCCGTACGCCCTAACTACTCAAGTTAGGGCGTACGGACTACTCAACTAATTAGTTGTGGAGTACGGACGAAAGCTACTTAAAGAAAATTTAGGATCATTGCTAATATGTGACTAAGTTACAAAGGTATGTAGGGAGTCATTAGTAAGTGAATACTCAAAGCAAGCATAAACAGTTTTGCATATTATATAAATTATTACTTTAATTACTTTTAATGGATATTTATACATAAGATATGAAACGATGAGTCATCATTAATTAACGTTTAACAATAAATCGACATTCGAAACCAATGCCAATTTTATTTCTTTTTAATTTATTAATGTTTAACGAGAGGTTAAATATGTAATGGTTTTATAAAAATAGTTTTATTCGTATAACTTCAAATAAGTTTCTTTGGCCTTAGTTTCCATAGACATTTTTTTTATAAGTGGTCTTAATATAAAACTCAAATATAACTATGTATTATATCAGTTGTCTAGTACCCATAGTACAAGCTCTGCTTAGTTTGGGACTAGATGGCGTTGTGTAAATGTGGTACAATATTATTATATTATAACTATTAAATTTCAAGGTCAAAAGTCACAAAAGTCGGTTTATTGCGCTCTTTTTGGAAATATCTCATTTCCTATGAGTTTCTGCTATTTTTATTCATTCTCAATATTGTAGAATACAAAATTCTCTACAAATTTTGTTTAAAAAATTTTTTTATACGGTGAACCGTTTTCGAGATAGAGGGCGGAGAGCGCGCGGTCACAGCATCACTTCAGGTCAACCAGTGCCTCCGGTCGAAAACGCGCCATATATAGTTAATGAACTATCGATAAATCAATGATTATAAATAAAAATTGTTCGGCCCAGAGATTATAAGAGAGTGGAACTGAAACCTTATTGGCAGTCTATAATGCTCCGAAATCTGTGAAAAGTCGCGATCATCTTCGTTATATGCATTACGCCAAGTATACAAAACTTAATAAACCTGTGCAGCTTTCAAATATTCCACCAAAAAGTGCAGCTGCTCATCAATATTTCAACCGTGTATATTATCAAGTTCAAACTTGGTTAGGACATGATTTGGAAGAAGAAGACGACGATGAAGAGGAAGAAGATGATTAAAATTAAAAATTGTAGTTTTTGTAACCTTTATTCCATTTTTTTACTTTCAATAAAAATAAATGTATTCAATGATATTTTTTAATAAAAAGATTAATTCATAATTTATTTGTTTTTTTTTTCATCATGTAAGAAGTTATTAATATGTATTCTTGTAGAGAAACAAAAGATTGTTATTGTACAATCAAGACTTTTCTTTTCCATTCAATTCCGTTCCGTACCATGCTATTTTATTCTTTAGGATTTTCTCATAAGTTTTTATCATATATACTGTAATACCTACCTATTTGTTTAGTTACTATAATACCTGTGTACAAAGTGTGTGTAAGTCTTACACTAACTCCTCACTTCGCCTGGTACCCTATCAATATATGTATCGTATATACATATATTTGAAAAAAATAGAGTTGTGAATAACTCGAATAGAATTAAGTTTCCATTGCAAAATAGTAGGTAATTGATATCATTTCGATTTATGCTTAGCTAAGACAATTGTTGCGATTAAACAACCAAACTATAGTACTTAGTTAAGTTTCCTTTCTCGACAATTATTGTACCTTTATCCGCGGGAGAGTCAAGCATGCGGGAGAACATGCATGCATGCAGGAACGACCGATGATACCACGGCGTCACAGAAAACCGGTGTTAAGTATTTCTTTCGTTGCATTTCACTGGGTGAGTGAGGTTACTGGAGCCTAAATCCCCCACTGAATCCGGGTGAACTCAAGGTGAGTATGGGCGGCCGTAGTCACTTACCATCAGGTGCACCGTCTGCTTGTTTGCCCCCCTTATCTTTCCTTCCTCCGAGCCTTTTCCCCAAACTAGGTTGGGGTCGGCTTTAAATTTACTACGGCTGAACTTCGATTTTTTACGCCGAGCGAAAGTCATCAGACCTCCACAACCCAACTAGGTACTAGGCGATATCGAAGTTCTATGGAAAGACTATTGTCGGACATCTTAGGGCTCCAACTATCCGTAACGATTGCCGTAGATGCTCGTATGGCAACCGGCTTAACGTGCTCTTCGAGGCACGAAGGGGTCATGTGTTAAGAATGGTCACCCATCCATAGACTGACCTGGCTATATCACTTAACTTTGCAATGTCTTAATCTACACCTCCTAATGCACCTCTACACCATAAAAAAACCCTACCTTAAAAGAAGCCAACCTGAAAGGCTCATCCGTAATAAACACTACTTATATTTGACATGGGAGACTGACAAGCACATAATTAAGTTATTACAATACAGGTGGCTCAAGTCAGCCAATGTATATAATTTTCTGGTCACCTCTCACGACATCTATCAATTTATCGAAATATTGAGAAAATACCTTGTAATTGACACACTGTCTGTCTGTCAAATAAGTTTATTTATTTTTTATAAGTGGTCAAGTTACACCGACAACACAATACAAGGTCTTATATGGTCTTAAATAGCAAAATACAAAGAACAAACAAAAACACAAGTTCTTGCAATGCATTTAAGGATGTCAAATTGGAATACAATACGAATAAATTACCTAAGTATTATCAGAAATTTCTTGCAACTTTTACACATTTAATTCACTTATAATTCATTCGCTTTTCATTATGTATATGCATAATACATACACTCACGCCTGCATCAACAAAAAGGTAGGCTGAGACGTATTTAACAACAACATTTTGTAAACAATATTTTTTTCAAACCCAGTGCCATCACCGAGTTACTTGGAAATTAAAGATAAAATAATAATAATAGTAACTTGACACATCTCACACACGCCCGTGTGATCCCAGATTAGCCAGGACCTGTGCTATGGTAACCAGACTGATGATAAACAACCATAGGTATATACATATTTCTAATTACACACACATTATAGATGAATTACACCCAGGCACAGAACTATTGATCGAGCTTATCACACAATTATTTGTCCTGGGTGGGAATCGAACGAGATCTAATTTAGCAGTCCGGGTCGCTAACGACTAGACGAACATGCCAGTAAAAAATTGAAACATATACTGAAAGGGCAAGATATATAGATCACAAGGGAGAGCATTAAAAGGAAAATAAAATTGCTTAGCGGTTATTGGTTTATGACTGAAAATGTCGAGCTAAACGAATTAGAATAAAAAAAAGCTCGTAAAACATAAGTTACTTACCGTGTAAATACATCAGGATAGTGAGTCCTCGAGAAGGCCTTCTCCAGTTCCTCCAGTTGGAAGCTGGTAAATGTTGTTCTATATCGCCTTTGTTTTCGTTTTGGAGGAAATTCGTCTGCATCATCGCTATCAGCTGATCCTGGGATGGGTCTGTCCGAAGGAGACTGGTCTGCTCGAGACAGTTCGGGTGTGGTTCTAGGTGAGTCATCTTTCTGAACTTCCGATATTCCCATGCTGTTCGCGTACTTCTGGTACTCTTGCTTTTGGGTGAAGTAATCTGAAAAGAGAATCATAAATAAACTTTTAAGAATTATTTTAGTTCTTTAACGTGAATGCTAACACTTTATAAAATAAATAGTCGTCAAATAATACATAAAACAAATCACGTTTATGATCTTTCATTTATTTGTGAATATTACTATAGTTTGAATAAACTAGGACAGTTTCCACTGTGCTTCTCAAGAAAGTTTTTGGTTTGCGAAGCGAATTCAGGCATAATATTGTCACCTGCGGTATGATCGATATGATTTTCGAAAATAACGTATTCCCACCTCAAAGAACAGCCTTTGGTAGACCTGTATCAGACAACCGTGTAACGAACTCAGGACCCTTAAGTTTGCGACCCTTCTGCTCGTTTGTCCCTTATATGTTATAAAAAATGAAACTTGGGTCGAACATCGTACGCGACGAGACGAATACATACAAGTACTAGTTAATATAGAAGAAGGTCGTTATTTTTGCAAGTACGTGCCTATAAACATAGTCGTATTTTTTAAATAAAAGCAATGATTTGTCACAGCAGTTTATCGTGAGAACAAATGTCTGCCATTTTGTACACAAACTAAGTATGTATCTAATCAAAATGCATGCTTGCAGTACTATTTACTCGTCTACATGTATAAGAGAAACGGAAACTTACAAGTAACAGTCAATTAAGTTAATTTCTTGCCTTTTTGTTCTGTAATAGGATGTGAAACATGTTCATAAGAAATTATTTATTGAATAGCCATTAATTTTACTATCTACGTCTTACATTAAACATGTGCAACTAAGTGTTGTTAAAATTAGTCTTTGTCATCTCGCGGTGGCGACCTTATTTGTCTGCAAAATTTTCGATTTACGTAAACATACCAACGGAACTGCGATCTACACAAAGCCTAGTTTTTATATTATATTTCAATGTGACACGGCAGTTGCTCGAGACCAGGGCCTCAATTCTGCTATTTTAATATTTTATCAATAGACTGTCGATGGAATGTTGTCGGAATAGTTTGGTACTTTTCCTATTTTACTAACTATGTAAGACCAATGGCATCCCAAAAACTTGTCACTGATATAAATGTCGTCGATATAAATTTCATTATGAATTTTAGAACAATAAAAATATGTAATGGCTTTTAATGTAGCAATAAGGTTCGTAGCAATGCATTATTTTACAGATTTTTTGTGTGCTTTATTAAAAAAAAAGCTACATAAAGAGTTGCCGTCATATACAACTATTATGAAGATAATTTGACCTCAGGTTCTTATAATCAATTCTGTCGTTTAATTCACTTAATGTTATTACGTTAATTGATCTCTGATTACGGTGTTATGTCCCTAATTGGCCGTTATTACCTACGTTTCGAGAAAATAGCACGTAAATAATTATCTATAATAATTTTTGCTCGCTTTAAACATAATTATAATTGAGTTGTGGTTTTTGTGTCATGTTTATTTATGGCTGGATTGTCTAGGGTTCCGTATCTTAAAAGACAAAAGTGAACACCTTTAGGATAATTTTGTTGTTCGAATTTTAAGACAAGTGTTTCTAGAAACATGTGAAGCTTCAAATTTGTTAAGTGAATACCGTTACCATGTTATTTAAGCCCTTTATTTTTACCAACACTGCAAGTGTATCAAAATCTAGTTCCAGAAGCAAAGTCCACAGACATTGGTTTTGAGTTGCACTATAAAGTGTAAGTAAAAAGTAGCAAAATGTTTTTGCAAATTACTTACATTATTTTAGATGATTTTTATTACTTATATGATGTTTTACTTAGATAATTTGATTTGATTTAGCAAATATTTTGAAAATTGATCCTGAAATGGACAAACTATTAATAACAAGGTTATTTGTCGGTGTACGGAACCTTTTCGGAGGCGAATCAGTTTTATGCTTCTCTGTACTTTTTCTGATTATATTGTAAAATCTAATGGATGTAAAACAAAACCATGTGAACATTAGCATTATTTTGAACAGAAATTGTAAATTAAGAATTCTAAATAAATACATTAAACTTTTTACTAACAAAGTCATTAGTCATAGGTTTTGATGTGTACCTACTGTGTAAATTTAAGTTTTAAATAACATAGTACCTAAATCTACGGATCTAATATTTACTTAATGTACAATAATTGCGACTTCAAGGATTTTTTGTGATTACTGTACGACCACAGCAAGGAGTCGTATTTGTAATTTGTGACATAATTCTTCCAATTAATTTACTAGCCTTGTGTTGCGTGGACGTTAGCAACACATAATTAAATGAGAAAGCCATATTTGGGACAAAAGTACTTAAATGGTCGGTTGACGCACTGTGCTTCAATTAAATACTAATAATTGTTACGCTATGATACTTTTATAATAATATAAGCACAACACATTTTTTGTTTTTTTTTTTGTTGACGGAGTGGAAAATCCCTTCGGATCTCCGGCTCCTTGGGGATATAGAAGCCAGGAGTATGTGGTGACTCCACTAAAAACCACCTTAGGTGCCCTGCTCTGGGGAGAACCCGGGCCATGTGATTTCAGGTCCCCCAGATCGACGCCGCACCTAGCTAGGTCCCATCTCAGGGAAAGCCAGTGGCTTCTCCCTGCCTCTCAGCCTATCCAGATGTTGCAGCCCGATCACATTTTCAGTGCGATCAGGCTGCCATCCTTTCCCCTACCGCAGCAATTAATCTGCCACCAGAGGTCCCCACTCTCTGGCGGCCCAATAGGGAAAACTAAGATTTGAAACCTCAACCTCATGCTCTCAAATCCATTGCAGTATGCATCTGGCCACTCGATCGCTTAAGCACAAAACACCTAATTACAGAAAAATAACCTGTGCACAATATGCCTTAAGTTATTGTATTTGTTCCAGGTATAAACAGAAAGGCCATGTTGGGCACAAATGGGCCACCTCGACCGGAGTGCTTCCCAGGCCTCACACAAAACCAGTGTTAAGCATTTTTTTTAACTTTGCCTAAAAAATCTAGAACGCGATGAACTGGTAATTTTTGTGATGAGAATTTTACCACTGGGGCATTCGTACCGGTGCGACACGAATGCCACAATGGTTAAACTATTCACCTTTTTTGTTCTGCAAATTATGTCGAAGTTTAGATAAGTATTTTATTTTATTTTTCTAAATTATCAACAGATTTCCACTCAAAGTGAAACCTCTCGTCACAGCCTCACAGGAAGTATCATTACATAAGACTGCTTACAGTGTACTCAGTACCGTCACCACAGCTTTGTCTGCTCATTTTCACTACAATGCATTCATCTCCTATACATTTTACATTCTACTTGCCATTTCACTTTTCAAATGTGAAATTATTTATTTATTTATCTAATTAGTATAGTCACATAATGTATGTAGCGGACTTAATGCCAAATGTATTATCTACCAGTCTACCATAGGGTGATGTGGAAATGAATGAAATGTTACACCACACTTTCGTTGAAATTATCCCTGTAACCTCGGCAAATATTGAAATCTAGCATCCACAGGGAACGTGCACGAACAGCACAAATTGACACGAGGGCCTCCGTGTGTTTAAAATAAGAAGCTTTTCAGACCTATAAGGTATATCCTTATTCAGATAAAAGAAGGATTCCAGCACTTCCAACCGATTATTACTGATGACGTAAGTCTAAATTGTTATGTATTTATTCAAAGTACACATATCGTGTTAATCACTTAGCACCTGTTAGACCCTTGATGTAAAAACTAAATTACTGTTTCACAATAATCCAATAATAAAATTAATAATTACACTTAATTTGCTGTGACAGGTCTCTCATTGTTGCAAAAACAATGTTATAATCTCATTTCCTCAATTGCTATGTTGACGCTTACATTGTCAGCTCATAATATACAATGTTGATGTTGGCTAAACTTACTTGACACTTGTACAAACTTGGCGTAATTTGAAAGAGGACTGGTACCATACCATACCAGAGGGAGAATAATCCTACATACACCAATCAGTTTTTATACTAGATATTAATTACCACATTAACGATAAACAACGTTTAGAAATAAATAACCTAGAATAATTGTTTTGAACTTTGGGGATTGTACAAATTAGTCTCACTTTTGCGTGTAGGTGCATTACAGTTTTTTGGATTGCAAGTGACGTCTCTCCATGGAGTGCGGTTGTTGGCAACTACCTATACTTGATCTTTATTATTTTAATTTCTGTTTACATTACGTACTGTTGGTATTTTTAAGGTTGCTGAGCTCTCAGTAGTTCACTCGTAGCTAACGTTACAACAATTGCACTACAAGGGTCTATATTTTACATTACACTTTATGTTTAAATTGTTTTAGTAGATGTGGAGATATTTGTTCGCTAAGAGCACAAATTGCGTACTTTGCATAAAGATTTCAGGTAACAAACCAAAACATTAAAATGGGGTTCAATCTAAAATATTTTTTACTTATAATGACGGTGTTTAAACAGAATATTAAATGCAGTAATAGAATGAGAAAAAAAAATATAATTGTACTCATGAGTCGCCATTTCAGCGCCGTAATATTATCAACAAGTAATTGCATTACACTGTACTGCAATTTTGATTAATCTGGTATGACGCAAGTGAAGGAAATAAACTGAAAATAAAATATAGTGAGGCACAGATCGCGTGTGATTAGGTTTACAAATTACTAAAATAAAAACCACAAATTGCGAACGTAACACGGAAACGTTTGTTTAAATTAAAATAATGAAACATTGAGTTGCAATTTACTGATGTTTGTTTTTTTAGGGTCCAGTGCCAGTAAGAAAAAATAAACCCTTATGGGTCTTTGTTATTCGCCTGTGTGTCCTCAACACGACCCTGAGATACAGAAATATCGTTTTCTCAGAAACTTGTGTAGGTAGTGGAAAATAACATCAATTAGGTATTCATATCTTCAGTTCTTTGAGTTGTAAAATAAATCAAGCTTCTAAATCAACGCGATTAATGTGACCATTACGCATGTTTTGTTTTTTTTTATGTTAGAGGGGGCAGACGAGCAGACAGGTCACCTGATGGAAGGTGACCATCGCCGCCCATGAACGTCTGCAACTCAGTCGTATCGGTCCGGAAATACCGCAGACGATAATCCGTTCCACAGATTGGTTGTGCGGGGCAAAAAGTAGCTCAAAATCGAAACCTGTAGGCTAATTCCTATTGACCTACAATCATGAACCTTATATCTTACAGCAGAAATAAATAGAACTGCAGAGTTTGATTGTGAATAGAGCAAATCCTTCAATAAATTTTATTAAACGTACAAAATTATACATAATATATGTAAGCTTGATGAAAAAGAACGGGCACACGACAAAACATGGTTGGTCAGTTAAACTAGTTCATGGTGCAGCATTTAAATGTAAAGCAAAGGTTTAAATGTGAAGACGTTTTTCATGTTTGATATTTAACATTTATAGTTTTTGTCAATCGTTGCAACACATTTATTGTAATCGGTAATTCAGTCATTTTTTGCGTTTCTTTTATTTATGATTTATAATACAACTATGGATCCGCTCCGGCTTTGCACGGGTGCAATGTAGATACTGTAGATCTATTAATACTATTAATGTGGTGTCAGTATAGGTATACAATATTTAGAGGCCCGCTTATTTAACAAGTTCAATATTTTAAACTAAAAATAACTTTTTACTTTTCTCAAATCGATTGTAATTTACTCCAAAATAAAATCGATTGTTATTTTTAAAAGAATCGTCAATATGTCAGAGTATAATTGTTTTTATAGTACAACAATAAACATATAATAACTAACCTTAATCCGAAGTAACTGATGACCTTAAAAAATAAAACCGTCTCCACCGAGAGAGAGAGAGAGCACTCTTGTCACCAGTTTGTCATCAGTTCCATTCACAAATTAAGACTCACTTTCACATAGATACATATTTCAATTTCCATTTCAAACAGAACACATACAATCTTGCTCGTCGACACACAAATGAGTGAGTTATATTAAACACGAACATTCCCGATAAGCGTTGATAAATATTATATTTTTGGTAAAATTATCAAAACGTATTAGATTACACTTGTATCTTGCTTTTGTAAAGATTTTGTATGTGATGTTCTATAGTGCTATTTTACAAAAGAATCAGTATAAACATGGGTGCCAAATTAAATCTAAATAATTCATAAGGCCGCTCGTATACATCGACCCTGCGAATGGAAAGTTATGTGTACTTTCACAAATTACCTTCAACACTTTTAATCGTCTTCGCGAATTTTTTTTAGGGTGGCCGCAATTTATATAGGAGTTGTGGTTGTTTTCTTTAATGGCTTACCGGCTGTCTGTGACTAAAATGTGGGATTTTTTTTTTTTTTTATAATTTATACTTCCCAGGTGGTCCCATTTAAATTTTATTCATATCGGTCTAGCGGTTTTCGAAAAATCTACAAAAATGAAGTTGATATTTTTAAATATTCACGTGATAATGCGTTACGTGTATGTGTACCTGTAACTACCCAACTTTTTAAATATCTAATATTAATATTTGTAATAACTTATGTGTTAACTGTATACAATAAAGATATAAAAAAATAAATAAATAATAAAAATCTAATTTTTTTATCCATTGATTATATTTTTGTTTTCTTGAAACCTTGCCGTCCCATTGGAGCAGTGCGTTTAGTTGGTATTTGTTAGTATTATTTGCAGTCGGTTCAACTTTTTTTCTAAAGTATTTTTAAGCGACTTCAAAAAGGAGGAAGTTATCAACTGGAAAGCAGGAGACTCCTTCTTGGAACTATGTTCATACATGGCATTGTTCATAACAAGTATGACTGTCTGGAATTATCAAATAGATTATGTTACAACGTCCCCAGAACAGTCATGCGAAGGCAGGTTCGCCCACATCGTCTGTTAGCGATTACGCCTTATTATGTTTCTAAAACAAACGCTAAGAACTCCTCCACGACGGCTTGTAGACAATTACAATACCTTTTTAACAGAACAGATATCTTCATGCATTCAGCAATGAAATATAAAAAAAATGTAATAGAATCCTTAAATGATATGACTGCTTCCAGATCGGGTTCCGAATTTCCATTATTATTTATTATTTTAATTTATGTCTAATTTAGACATTATATCGTACGTATGCATTTTTATTGTGCAAATATAATTAATAATTTAGGTATATCTATACCAAATTATTAGATTATTTTATTATTACTATTTTAATCACGTAGCATGCACCATTTTATTATAACATTGTGTATAGGAATAAGCGGATAATGCTGTTGGTAGTACAATTAGCACATTTGTATTAATAATAATATTTACCATTATTGAATAGTGTACTATTGTTTCTTATCCCAAATAAATAAAATAAATAAACACGTTTTTATAAGCTTCACCTTTTTTTTTTTTTTTTTCCGTGCGGAAATCCCCTCGGGTACCACCTGTCGGTGGCATGTCGGACACGAACCGACTAAAACCGCACGCCGTCGCCGGGTACTAATAGCCGGGGAACCAGGTATACCCTAGAAAGGAAGTCCCTGGTGCCCCGACATACCTCGGGTCATCTACAGACGAGTAGACGACCCCCCCCCCCCCGTGTGGGAACCCCATGTTCCCTGTGCTCCCTGGAAGCGAGCGCGCTTCGCAACGCGCTCGCAGCCACCCCGGCCTGCTTCTGCTAGGGTGACAGATGGCCTCACCTATCACCCCCAGGCCTGCGCTTATGGAGGACGGAGGTCGTTCTGCGACCTCCGGCGCCTGAGTCGCCTGCGGTACCTGGCCCGTTCCCGGGCCTGGCAGAGTTCTAAACCTCTCCCGATCCCACTCCGCCGTCTCCTTCGCGAGCATAACTTGCTCGCAGAAGGAGACGGCAGAGTTCCACGCACTCTCGCTCCGCACGATAGCCGCAATCAGGCTATCGAGCGAGAGAACTCCGAAACATCCCTTCCCAGTGATCACCTGCGTCAATCGGTATAAGAGGGTCCCGTGACGCCTCTCGAGCCAATCCTCCATAACGGGTCTTACCGCCGCGATGACGGCGTGCCCGTTTATAAGCTTCACCTGTAACTAACTTACTACGTAAACAAATCATGCAAATTGATTTTAGTCTACTTGTGTCATATCAAAATTAAAATTTGTGGACAACAATAGCTACTATTATTTGGCATCTTGGAGCTGATTCCAAGGTAAGGGAAGGAAGTCATTCGTTGTGGACTGGGTTTGGTAAAGATAGTCTGATGACGAAGGCAGGAGATTAATAGTGCAATT